GTAGGCATAGCCTGCACGTCTTATATAGCCTACCAGCTGAGACAGGACGTTAATCAATAATAATAATAATAATAAGCCAAAATATAGAGAGTGTAGGTCAAACTATTTAATTTTGTATTTGTCTTAAGAATGTAGAGTTGACTATGATGCTTCGTGTGTAGTCTAAAATTTCCTATTTTGGAATCTCCGTTGTATCATTTCAGTTTTCTTTTTCTAGACCTCTACTCACACGATGTTAGCTCTTCCTGTGTAATCTTAGATTTCCTTTCTTCGAATTCTGGTTATGTCATTCTGATTTTGTTTTTCTAGGCTTTTATCCACGTGATGTTGTCTCATCGTGTGTAGTCCGAGATTCCGTTTTTGGAATCTCAGTCATGTGATATTGCGATTACGGTTTTCGGTTTCGTATCACGTGTAATCAGAGAACGTATACACAAGTCATGTGCGTTAGCTACAACAGTTATAATAGTAATGCAATTTGGACACATGTGTTTTCGCGTTTCACGTGGTGATATTACTGTTTTCTCATTATGTAAAGCAAAATCTGAAATGCTCTCTCAAAAGAAGCTCACGTGACTAGCTCTTTAGTGACATACAACAGTGAGAACTGCCGTTTTAAAGAAGATAGACGATCCAAATTTCATGTCAGATACCGTTTATGTTTTACCTTATGGATGGGACTTTGGTCCCAAAATTTGATATTTGGTTATTGGCCTCCTATCCGCTCATCTTCATACATATTCCGAATATGGCAATACATCTACAGTTTTAATGACGCATGACGGCGAAAAACGCAATGTTGGGAAGGTAAACTATATGTGAGCCCTGTACAACATTTAGTTTCCCGAATCCAAGTTTGGAGCTCGACACTGTCCTTACATTGACTGCAAGGACTGTACTTTGTAAGGCGGTGTACTCTACCCTTATTATTGATACATTACAAGAGATTCGCTTACTTGGGTAGCGCCCGTGTACTGTAACGAATGTGCGGCCGTCGTGCAAGGTCAGGCAATAACGCCGACAGTGCCACATCCTGCAAGGCTAGATCCTGAAAGAATTAGATATTTCACGTACATAGACAAGATTGTACCACTTCTTTCGTAGTATCACTTGCAATCATGGGCAAGCCAACTAAGAGATCAGCAAATCTTCAACGAAAAGGCCTGACAGCAGACGCTTTGCTAGCCCAGTCGTACAAGCAATGTAAGAAAAGGCTAGCTGCATCAACAGACAGGAACTACAAGGACGCACAGAAACTGTGGGATGAGTATGAACCTTCTATATTAGACGTAATCTACTTGTCTAAGATACTAAAATAGATCAGATACTGCACATACACCAACAGACCTTCTTTGCTACAGCCAGGATCACCTGTACCTGATGTCCACCAACTTAAGCAATTCTTACATTGGTGGGCTGGGAGTTCTGAAGGACGAATCCAAACATAAGTGAGCGTTGTCTCTTGCGAAGTTGTCTGGGCTAGAGTTCAATCAGTTATTCTCCAAGTAACAGGAAATCGCGTACCTACTCAAGTCAACACAGATGTACTCGCAGTAAGTAGGCAGTATCTTACAAAGGAGACAGTGTAATCTAACAAATGTAGTGGATACGAACAAACCTCACTCAAGAACTTAGTTTGACGACAGAGAGAGTGAAAAAAGGTTTATGTGACTTGGTTGTATTCACAAATCTCATGAAACAGCTTTGGTGTCACGACGCTGACGAATTTGAGTGGGAACGCGAACGTGTGCAGACAGCCTTTCTACTACAGATACATATGTTCACGGGAGGCCGGCCTGGCGCGTTTGTCCCTACGGGATACTACCCTGACATCCATCTAAAGTACGAGGATGTCGAGTTTTTACTCATCCGCGTAAAAGATGGACAGGAAAAATTTGGCCTAGTACTACGACAAGGATGGAGAAAAGGAGAGAAACAAATGCTAGATGCAAAGTGAGTCACTGAAATTCCATTATAAACAGCGCTGACGAAAATTCAGGTTACGTACCCTCTGGACGGAGGACGAGAGCATGATCTACTGCCCCGTTACGTCTTTTCTTGCATTGGCGCTTGCAGATGATGCATTCGTTTCAATAAAAAGCCGATCTGATCTTGACAATGTGAAGCTGGACGGTGGCGAAGACGTACGAGTCTTTCCATTTAAAGCTGAGATGCACGGAAAACCCTTCTTGTTAACGCGACGCGGAGGCACCATGCCATATTCGAGTTGGTGGTACAAACTCAAGTCCCTTAGCCAGAGAGCAGGGTATATGGAATATATCCGTCCCTACGATATAAGAAGGGGTACTGCGAACAAGCTTGATGGTAAATGAATCTCAACGTCTCGGATTTTATGGCCCTAATCTTTCGCAGAATCATCCAGCGTATCGACCAATTCAAGAAACCAGCTTTTGGGTCACTCAAGTGATGCTATATATCAGCAATATTACCAGTCTGATATTTCGGCTGTGGATATAAAAGGCATTGTTTTACGCGGTAAAGCGGACGCAGGTTTTGATGTTCAAACACTGCGCCGCAACCGCAGGCTTAAAAGATTACCCTCACGCCTACCATCACGGGAGCACCAAGAGTTCCTTGCCAACTGGAGACGTTTGACATGGGAGGGCGAGGCCAGCAAAGACGTCTGTGGCAAGCGGGCACGAAAGCAGGCTTGGAAGGCATTACAAAAATCGTGGACAGAGACTTATGTCACCGTCACCGCGCCAGAGCCCCCAATGCAAAGCAAAATCCCCCAATCTGTTGAGCGTTTTGGCAAATTGGATGATCCTACAACATTAAACGCTATCATGATGCAATACGACCCCCATCGGAAACTTATCAAAGAAGCTGCACTGCCTGCCGAGTACAGTTTGCGAGCGTCCCCGATATTGGATAGCCTTTCGTGCTTAGCTAGTCAAAACTACGAACATCCAGCAGCCTGGTATCCAGGTACCGAACCACGTCGACTCACAGATAAGAGAACGGAATGTCGATTCTGCAGGAAAGATCTTACTACGTAAATTTCACCACTCCCATGAATTGATACAGGAGCTAATGTATTATAGAATGGCCCACAAAAATCAGCAGCAGCATGTAATGACATGTGCTTCTACACGAAGGATACTATCAGCCGAAAAGTCATGGCGACCACGTCTCTGCCATCGATGTAATATCTGGTTCGACAAGCTTGAAGACCTCCGAGTACATTTGAAAGATCATTTTAACGAAATTGATACGTACTGTGGGATTCTTAGGCTTCGAAGTATTGTTGTATCAGCAGGAAGATGCCCATTCTGCCTGTCAAACTCATGCTGGATTAGGTGGGGGGAATATGAGAAAGTTGTTACGGCTTTCACAAGCTCGGAAGACTTCAAAGACCACCTAAAAAAGCACTTGATGGAAATACGGTGTGAGAGAGAGTCTCATCACTGTCCCCATCCAATTTGCTCGCAAGAGAATTCTTATGTCTGGGCAGACCTTATTCATCACTTCTACGATGACCACGGTATCACGGTGGATTTGTTTGGTACGGAAAGCTTTACAACCCAGCGCCCCCCTTCTTTGAAAGAGTCTCTCTTTATATCATCAGATACTGAGGACTCAGAGCATGAAGCGTGGCTAGGGATACAAGAAACGTCCGTGAGAAAGAAGCAGAAAAGGACACTGAAACCGAGAGAAATGTTATTGAAGGACCTAAGAGGCTAGTTGGTATAAGAAAACCTTCGTGAATGCAAAATTGTCTCCTCTACGTAGTACGCTTGTTATATAGTTGCTCATAAACTAAGGCTATGACATGGGATCAATATTCTGTTTATCATGTAGAAGGTGAATAATACTAGTTTACATTTGATAAAGCGACAGCCCACCTTGTGAATTGTATGTGATAGCATAGTCGGCTTTTATATCTGTGTGGGTCTCTGCCATTGTATTGCTAATGTCCGTACTGTGAAAGTAGCCTCCTCCGTACTCATTCACAGTAACACCGTGACTACATCTTGTACAATACCCCTCCACACACCGTAAATGATCGATTATCCAGATAGCGACATCCATAGTCACATATTCTTTGCCTTTCAACACTCTTGGGTCATTGGTGATACCATGGCTTTGTCCAGTGATAGTCATATCTTGGGTTATAGGTTTTGCTGTTGTCGGTGTAGATGAAAAGTCTAAGATAGGTGTATGGAAACTTCTAGATTTGCGTTCAAATGATAATACACGCATCGCAGCTTCTAGTCCAATCACACGTTGAGCATCCTGGTCCATTTGAGCTTGTTGTCCGAGTGCGACAAACTGTATAAGATAGCGAGGATGGATGAACCAAAGATAAGGGGGGATTTCGCACTGTCCATGACTTGCAGTTACGATCGCTAGCCGTTTTCTAGCTGAGTTTCCCAATCTGATTATTTCAAAAAGATGTTCTCCCGTGAACATCACATTCAAAAAGTCCGACAAGGGTGGAATTGTAGTCATAACTGAAGAGTAGTGGGTCTAGATACATCTGGAAGTTCTCGATAAATAGTTTGAGGACATATACCATAGCTTTAAGAGTAATTAGCTTTCTTTATATATCTCTTGGACATAACGGTGTAAGAACACGGATTCACGTCTTAGCTTTTTCAAAAACCAGATTTCACTTCTCGAATGTCGCAACCGAAGTGCGGAAAGCCAATCACTAGGCTTTGTCCTTGTTCTAAAAGTCTTTAAAATGAACACATATAGTTTCTATATAGCAAACCAAAGTATAAGATGGCCACTCTCCCCAAAGGGACGGCACTCTATAGATCACGACACAATCACCAAATGGGCTCTCTTGGCTACTTGTATCTCCACAAAGACGGTGCACTGTTCCGACCTACAGCACCATTGCATCAGCTAGAGGGATTCTCAGAAGCAATCGGGATATCAAGTCAGGCGCTGGCAACGCTTCCATCACGTACTCATAAACCCCTGGTGAGGCTCGAAATAGTATGCTTACTAATACAGAGCAAGACAATACGAAAAGTATAGTTATGGATTACTATGACTACTACGCTCAAGCTATTGCAAAAAAGGTCACTCCAAGACCCCTCCAACACGAATACAAGGATTACAAAGACCCAGGGTTCAGCATTGGCACGAAGAATGATAGCAGTGAGAAATATGTAGGAAATGGATGTATTGATGGATACGACGACGAGTATTGCGACGACGAGTATTGCGACGACGAGTATTGCGACGACGAGTATTGCGACGACGAGTATTGCGACGACGAGTATTGTGACGACGAGTATTGCGACGAATGCGACGACGAGTATTGCGACGAATGCGAAGACGAATATTGCGACGAATGCCATGAAAAATACTGTGACGAGTGTCACAATGGATGTAACGACGACTGTTGTGATAGATGCGACAGCGATTGCTGCAAGGAATGTGACAATGATTGTGATGGCGAGTGCTGCGATGAATGTTGTTATAGGCGTAGTTGTTATGAATCTAGCTACGATGATGGTAGTTGTCATAGTTTGTAACTGCGATGATCTTGACGGATGTATTTCGGTAAGCGACATATAACCAGCAGAAATCGTCACAATACTCACTGTCCAGCTAGTCTACTGGGTGTGTTCGTGTATTTGACTGAAAACACCATTGGAGGAGGGAATTAGTAAAGGAGTTTCTTGTTGGTGGAAGCTAGTTCAGTGTCGATTTTTTTCAGTCATACCTTTCCCGCAAAGAGCTAGGATATGTAACCGCAGTCTCTCTTAGCTACCAACGTTGAAATCTTGCATGATTTGCTTATATAGTGGCTGAATTTAAGGAATGCTGTTGGCCTACCATTTCAGTCATTCAAGTTTAATCTGTCACTTGCTATACTGTCTTTGGTTCTAGTGCTTCACGCATGAATCACTTGGCGTGATATCAAACTCTGCAACTATAATTACGTGCTTCCTGATGTGCCTGATTGGCTATGTAGACCTGTATGCACTGTATTGCCGTTCAGAGTGGGCAGATGACCAGTAGCATAGCCACTCCACGGCGGCAAAATGTATGTACGCTTAATTTCTACATGCAATTGTACCGGAAGAGACACTGCGGATTTGTAGACAGCGCTTAGGCATTGTGTGTTAAAGGCTTCGAATAATCTCAAGTTCAATTCCAATTTCCATATACCAATATTGTCGAATCTTCACAAACCATCACATCAAAGAAAATGGCTACTCCTAGAACTCTCTCCACCTCTACTCTTATTGTTGAAACTTGTACATTTTGCTCTCAAAGCTTAGAAGAGGAGCTATATTGCCTTCCTTGCAGATGTGTATGGGATCTTGATCTATGACATAACGCAGAGGACGAGCTGACATATTTTACCTAGATTTTCTGTGCTCAATGTGAACAGCAACATGAAGCGTTTAGCGACTTAACCGAAGCCATTACCAAAGCATATGTAAAATGTCCCAGCCATCGCGCTGCTGGTTGCGTGATGGCAATCCGAACCTCCTCGTCAAAGTGCGCAATAGACTCATGCTGTGGGGACGAAGGACTCAAAGATCGGATAACCAAGATCATTACCGCTTGTGGTACGTCGATATTCGTACATGTTGATGAAGCTAATAGCAGCAGGTCATGTTTTTTGTGAGGCCGATTGGAGTATGTGGACAAGTTTGTGTCAGCCACCGACTTGCCCCACATGCAGGACCGCGGTCTCAAGTCTCAGTACATTCTTACCAACTCAAAAAAAAATGGCTTCACCAATGACAAACCAATTTGCAGCCCAATCCAACGACGCTGAAAGAATGTTTTACGAATCAGAGGACGGCCAAAAATCCTTCACGAGTGCCTGGAAGGACTTTCGTCATGAATGGAGGACACACAAACATAATATCTTAGCTACTAAAGGATTGATGCGTCGTGCTCGGATACGAATTTCAGGGATTGGAGTTTTTATTGACAAAATATGTCGAACCGAAAGACCACCACTGGCCCGCAGGATTCGTGAATTAGATCAGCGATTTTCTCAGTTGAGTCAAGCTAATAGAGGTTTTTTGAAAGAGCAAGGACATCTCTGCCGTCTTGCAAGATTAGCGAAGCATCTTGTCACAGTGAGAGCTCTTTGGGAACAAGAACGACTACTCAAAGCGCAACGCGATTTAAATGAGTTTGGATTGGAAGAATAGTTCGTTGCAAACGGCATTTGATTCATGCCGCAATCTATACGATGTCTCCATTTTGTAGTATGTCCAAATTCAGTCCACTGAATCCACTGAAATATACGTACTGGTCGCCAATCTTCATATACCCTACTAATGTAAGGCGTTCCCTAGGTGAGAGAGTTCCTTTGACACTACGAGTTGAAAAAGTGTCTCCAAAACAATCGAAAATAACCTCATTGTCTCCTTGTTTGACACTACCGAACACTTGAATACTCGGGGAGCCGTATGCGCCGGCCAGGAGGCGATGGTCTTCTTTAATCCCTATAGAAAGAGAATGCTGCTGTATATCCATTGATGCAGACGCGCGCAAAGGCTCGTATTCGTAGGGCTTAATATTACTTGTCCTTTCGAAGCATCGAATACATGGTAAGGCATCGGAAAGTATACTACTAAAGTCGTAGGTGGGCACCTTGGTACTTTTTGAGTGCGTTGATTTGCTGAGGGCAAGACAACAGGCATTTAGGCTAGCATTAGCGTGAGACTCTGGGGCACCAACGATGCGGTTAGACCCCACATATGCTGCGGGCCATGAACGGCTTGGTATGTTGATAGCAGATTCTTCCGTAGCGTAAAGCGTTAGCGACATCTCTTAATCGACGATAACGGCGGCGATGGAAGGTGTTTTCGCGGCTAGAACGGTAGTTACAGTGACGGTCTCGATACGTGAGCGTTAGTTTCCGAGGAAACACAGTATGCCGAGTTGATTTGGTGCTGTTGTGCGGAATGTCTAACATTGGATAGCATTAATGTCAGCTTCATAATGGAGGATACACCTGCATTAATTAAGCTACCCTATGACTAGTTATTGTTACATTTGACTATGTTTTACAACCTAGGTCGGTATAGGTTTGTAATAATAGCGTTGCCGTGTCAGAAAATGAAAATAGATATTCAACATGATGATCCCCTGAGCTAACTATTTTAGTGTGTAGTGCTTCTTATGCAACCACTAAAACCGGAAAACCGAAAACCAAAACAAGCAGTTGTTGCCCACCTAAACCAGCTGTTAAACATATAGCTTATTTCAATTAAAACGTGCTTATTTTTGGAATTATGTTATATCAATTCGCAATTACTGGAGCAGGAGACTAAGAAGAAAGCGGGCACGATTTTGGCTATGTTTTTCGGTAATTTTGCAATGCTAGGAGGGCCACGATTTTCCAGTTCTACCGGATGCATAAGAGGGTGCCTGCTTTCTAAAATGCGAAATCTAAAACGCATTAGGGCCTGTTCAGTTACGTGCTTTGCGTTTTGGGTTTTTGTTACCAGATTTAGGCTGCGTTTTTAAAAACTCTACTATGTTTGGTAAAGCGCAGCCTAAATATAGTAGTTAACAAAAACGAAAAACGAAAACGAAAAACGAAAACGAAAAACACAAAACGCGTAGCCGAACAGGCCCTAGGTATCTAAGTCTCTCGGTCGATCGGGAAACTCGGAAATAATTGCCAAACACCAACGGTATGAAGCCCGCTTGGAAACTTTATTCCTGCTGCAGCACTATTAATATTATTCTACTTATTGCTCGCTTACATTTAACAAGCATACAGTAAGCGCAATTGGTCGCTCTAGTTTTCTCTTAAAGTAATATTATGTTAGTATTGATATCCTGTAGTAAAGGTTGCTCGTTTTAGTTGACTAGCCCGCTTGGTCTGGGTTTTCCGGATTTTCCGATCGATTGAGAGCAAGTTCACAAAATGTGCTAAGCCGCATCAGGTTTAGCATCGGCTATTCGGATATCTAAGCCCACAGCCGAACTTTAACAACCACAAAACGGCTGAATTACTCCCTGTCAACGCAGAATTTGCTTTCCGTTTATCGAAAATCATTAGGTATTTTGGGATGAACTCAAAATTTAGACTTTTTCTTCTGCTTTCATCTTTGACTCAAGCAACTCTTCTCATAATTTCATATTATATACCTAAATTACAAGTAATTAGTTATGCAAAAAAATTGATCATAATACGAAAAGTGAGCAAATGCTTTTAGCAGCGTTTGAAGGGAACACAGCATTTTCAGCATTTTTGCAAAGCATGTTCCTAGACATTTCAGATTCGTATTATAGCACATCTATTACAAGAATTAAGCTAGTAAATTTGTGTCTATCTACAGATCTTCTGAATTATTCGTTGTGAATATCTGCAAGGCGGCGTTGCCGGTGCCGCCTATTCCGAAGAAACCACAGCAATGAGACTAGCATAACAAGTGCAATAATACTGCATACCATGCCTACCAAAAGCTGCGGCGAGGTATCCTTGACTTTCAGCTGAGCATACTGGTCCGCAATTGTGACTTGCACAGGTGTCGGAAGATCAGAGGCGATGGTAGGGTTTGCAAGGGAGCGTGTATGCATAGTGGCGTGTTTGTGTGTTATGTGCTTCTTGCTGACATTTCCCGCACTTCGAAATCGCATCTGTCGTCTTTCTTTTATAGGAAGATACCAAATTAGCACACAAAGCGAAAAAAATAACCTACAGGAAAGAAAACACATAACGATGAGAAGAAAGGAAATTCCATTAATGATAACTGCATTCTCAAATATCAGACCACAGCCTAGTATCAGAATCTTGTAAACCTTTCTCTACAAAGAGATGCTTTGTTTCTCGTGTATGATTCGTGATGTTGTTAGTTAGTCAAAACAAAAGATTATATATAATAGCAGCTAGCACGGTGCAAATTATCGCCTCATGCTCTTCTCCCCCATGGCTCAATTACACTGCTTCGGTTTTCTAGTAGTTTTATCTCTTGTAGTAAATATCGCTACGCATAGTTGGGTAGAGCGACTATATGTAACAAATAAGGGCGATCTAATCGAGCCGTCGGGCTACCCCCGCGGAAATGGTAAGCAATTTATTATATCGTAAGCATGGGCTAATTTACAGTTTTACGCACATCATCTTTTAGAGATGAGGATATGACTTATCGACTCCCTCCTGCAGGGCGCAGCGAAATCTGGCAAAGTGATCTCGCATGCAAAGTTAGCCAGATGACGTACAACCAGACAGCCGGAAGTCCAAGTCTTCATGCACATCCAAATGATACCGTGATACTCCTCTACCAGGAAAATGGGCATGTCACTAAGATAGCAGATGATCCCGGTCATACGAGTTCTGGGATAATCGCGGTATTTGGTACGTTGCACTCATTGCCTACTGACACTTTGCAGTACCTCGCGCTATCTAAAGACGATGGAGGGCAATACGAGCTGCTCAAAGTGGCTAGTTATGATGATGGAATATGTTATCAGGATAATAAAACGCCTATAGCTCTGGCGCGGCAGTCTTTACACCATCGACCTTCGCTTCCTGAGGAAGGGACGGATGTCTGGTGTGGCATAACCATTCCATTACCAGAATATATTCAAAAGGGCCAGATTTACACGTTAGTTTGGGTCTGGGACTTCCAGGGAATTGGATTTTATGAAGTGTACACAACGTGCATCGATATTATCATATCTTAAATAGAAGAATTGTATATAGAGGGTATGTAACTAGATTAACGTAGTCTACTAATACAAGACCAAAACACAGGACGTTAACCAAAAATAATAATAATAATAATAATACAAGACCAAAATTGTGAAGATAGGGGAGCGGCCTAAGTAGTTGTTATAGCAAGGTGTTCAAGCTTCTCGTCAATCTCTAGTGAAAATTAGCTTAGTGTCTTAAACGAAACTAAATCACTGACCGTCACATATGCTGCTGAACTCTTCCATGTTTTGATTGATGTGTATCATCCAGAGGGGTCGCGACTTCAATTGATGCAGCAGTCTGTCTAAAGCATAGAAATCATTTCGGTATTGCTGATTGACGCCATATACTGCCCGAAAGGCCCAGCGATTAATGTGTGCTTGATGCACCGCCAGTGCTGAGACGCACATCGGACAATTACAGGTTGCAGTTTGCATCATTATAACAACTGGTGTGAACTTGATGATGCTGAATGTAATGAAGAGGGCTTATGAAGAGCTTGTGTTGAAGAGATTATCCTTCATCATTTGCATATGTAGAATTAAGGGCCACGCCTAGACACTACTCAAAGAATCCCTGCGGCGTCGTCCAATGGCACTATGAATAGTATGGATTTTGAAAATGGAATCCGGAAAACAGAAATGAGCGAAAACAAATTTGATTGTGGGATAACCAACGCAGAAAACTAGGTACAATAAGGATTGCTATGCTGTCATTTGATGGAGTTGACGAAATGCATGACCCAGTATAAAAGACATCCAAGTGGTAATGACAGCTCATAAGAAATTTCTCCGTAGTTGAGATTACCTTGGTGAACAGCCCAGAAATAGAGTACTCGATTGCGATCCTTGTGTGAGTACAAGCCAGCGCGGGGCACGGGCTTATCCAATAGATTATTTAGTTTCTCTCCACTCATACCATAGCGATAGCGTAGATGAATACTGCTATGATAGAACCTAGCCCTTGATCTGATACTTGGAATGATATGCATAGGTTCCTTCTCGTGCGCAGCCAACACATGTTCAAGGCGGCCTTTAACCTCCTCAGCTATATTAGAGCGCAATTTTGGACCCGGAACTCGTGTATCCATAATACAGTCGAATAGGGCTTGCTGAAATAGCATCTCCCGTTGCTGAATAAAGCTGGACACATGTTGTGAGGCCTGACATGATACATTCGCGATGCAAGCAACACCACCCGCCATGCCAGCATGATTTATGCTTTGCGCTAGTGTAACAGAAGATGTAGTATCTGTTTGCAGTGGGGTAGAAGACGAAGACACATGTGACTTCTTGGGACGCGGTGAAGGGTGCTTCTCGAGAGTTGTACGATTTTGAGGCGCTGATATATCTACGCCACATTCTGGAGATTCCGTAGGTGAATCATTAAGGGTATGAGCTTCTGGCAATGCGACTGAGGTGTTGGTAGAGCCTTCCTCCTGGGGCTCTCTGTCTATGACAGGTTCCGCCGAGAGCATCGTATCCGCACACCCTCTCGAGGATGCGGCTGTTGGAATCGTTTCAAGGCTTTTTCGTTGAGCTAGCGAGGTTTGAAGAGTTTTTGGAGGCCCATAGTAAGCTTTAGGAATTTAGCAATAGTATGATATCATGGGAATTGCACGCATACCTATTGTCTTCTTTCGCGACGATCTTCTGGGTGTCATCTTGATGATTTGCGAAAGACGAAGCGCTAATTGGAAGGTGTGTGCTCCAAGAATTGATATTGGCTTAGTTGCAGTTCTCTTGAAACTGAAATTTAGGAGGGTTTATGTGCACATAGGCAGAACGGTGTGGTTGTGTACGGGCTTTTCAGCCTCACGGGCGCACAGTGGACAGGAACCAATGGTTCATGCGGCGCGGATAGCTGACCAATGGATCGCGTTGCTGGTCCCATAAGCGCCGCCTTTGCGCCAGGCTAATGCGCCCGTACGGACTGTCGGGGTATGCGGGACATACGTACGCAGGGTGTGTTAGTTTGTATGCATGCTCGTGGCGTACACGCAGAAAGTGTGCTCGTGATGTTGGAGTGCGCGTCTCCTAATTCCCCGGGCCTAAAGTTCCGATGCACATGAAGGACCCACAAGGTCTCCAATATTTCTCGAGGTGATGTTGCATCGAGGGGTCCAGGGGACCGTAGCCCGCGCGGTAATCGCGCTCCTACATTGAAGTCGCACGTACAGCAGTCCGATGCAGCCCAACAAGATGAAACAAGCAAGAAAGACCGAAAATCTCCTTAGAAGGCTAGACACATGCAGGCTTTACAAACGTAATTATGATTCAAGGATTCTGGTATGATAAAATGCATTATATTAGAACTATCCCCGCTCCTCCCAACATCTCAAATAGTCCCTTCTACTATATATACTAGGTATTATCTACGAGAAACGAGATCTCGCCATCGCACTTACCTTTGTGTCTTCAGGTTGAAATCCACAATGTAAAAGATGTATGTCCTGCTCACACCGGCGCACGCCATGCCGAACGGCTTCCTCGAAATGGGCAGTGCCGCACACTTAATTGCATTAGTCTCGTATACGCGCGTCAAAGATAACCTTCATACCTAGCGCCGCCATACTTCCTGCCTCAGCTAAATTTTCCTTGCTTATGAACCAACCGAGGTCTAAGGCTTGATCGGTCCGAAAGCAGCGCTCATACATACCAAGAGAGGTATGGTCCTGCACTACATCCTCACTAGGAATATATATGGCCAACGTGAAGATGTGGCGTTGGTCATTCTCCATCAATCTTTGTAGGATGGATTTCACCCACTGTTCCTGATCTGTCCGAAATCAGCATTGTTCTTTTATGAATTGCCTTTGCTTACTAGTCGTTTCGAGGAACCAAACAAGAGTAATGCGTCGAACTCTGGCACTCTGATTCTCATGAGCAACAAGCAGATCGCGTATTGCGAGTAAATGTGCTACAATCCCAATACCACTCGCTAAGAATAACACTTTGTCGTAACTGTTGAGATGATGTGGAGAACCGTATGGGCCGTCAACTATCGACGATAGCTGCAGGTTGTTGGCGTGGTGTATTATTATTATTATTATTATTATTTTAGTTTAGCGTCCTGTGTCAGCCGGTAGGCTATATAAGACGTGCAGGCTAGGCCTACAAGTATCTAC